GAGACGAAGACCCAAAGATCGCCCTCTCACTTTCAGCTCCCGTCTGACCAGTTCAGACATCAGCGTCCATTGATTGGAAAATTCTTCAGGCCCCGCCCCTCTGGTCTTGACTGACAAGAGGTGCAAAACAATAATGGCTCCATAGGCAAAAATGCCTTTAGATTTCTCCTTGCCCCAGAGTCTGGGCACAAGGGTGAGGGTGGAGGCTTGTGGCCCCCTTTGTGGCATGATGGGAGTTTTTGTCGCTCCTGGCTGGTGGGTCGCTACACTGTAGGTCAAGACTGCCTCTTCCCGGACATGCTGGGATTGTAGTCCTGCAGCTCCGCAACCCACCAACTGGGAGTCATGCAGATGCCAGTGTTTCCAGCAATTCCTGTAAGGGGCCCCCTTACACGTCCCTACCACATTCCGGAGCTGGGAGAAATCAACATTTTCTTTCCTATTCAGCCCGCGTCTGATCACATGTCCTGTGACTCAAAACCAGATGGCCTGGAGTTTTATCCAATCAACTGATGGTGGGGTTTGAAATGGCCAATCAGACAGGAGCTGGAAGTGAGGGGGCAGTTTCCCGGCTCTTACAGGGCCTTAGTTTCCTCCGTCAGCCTCGCGTATCTTCATTTTAGCCTGTGTTGCCCTGTGACATGCAGGTCCTGGGAGATTCGTAGGACGGACGCTGAGACCCTCAGAAGGCAAGAGGTGGTGAGTGTGCAGGGAGGTTTCCCGAGACGGGGAGTGGGGATGGACCCGGATGACCTGACTCTTTAGAGACTGGCCTTTCAGTCAGCTCTGAGCCTGGACCCGTCCCCACCAGCGACTCAGCCCGGTTCCCTTGGTGTAGGTGGGCCTCAGCCGTGACCCCGTGGTCTTGACCCTACAGCGACATCGCCTGCTTAGCACCATCCCCAAGTGTGCCGAACCCGCAAGGGTTGTGGAGAGGATCTGACCTGCGTACGGGGCTGGTGGGGGGAAGGGTAGGCTATGATCTTGGCCCACTCCCTCTTTCCTCCCCAGAGATAAACGATGACTCCACCACAACGTTAAAGAGACCTCTTGGCCAACAGTGGTTCTTGAGTCCAGAAATCCCAGCCAGGACTCATGGTGTGGGCATCCCGGAGGGCCTGGGAGGAAAGGCTTTGAGAAGTAGCAAGGAAAGCCGGGCATGGGAAGGTCTTGTTGGGTGACCGTCCTGCAGTGGCCTTATCTGAATTATCTAGGTGGAAATCTCCAGGTTCTGTCATTAGTGTCATTGGCCATTTGTGTCACCAGGTCCAAATCCAGGTCTGTCAACAGAAGGAGTTGGAGCAGGGTTTTGACTTTATTTAGTGGGGACATTAAAACCAAGAAAATGAGGGGATGGCATCCTAAAGACCCCTCCTGGGTCGTGTGTGTTTTTTCAAAATTTTTATCCAGGCTGTGGGACAGAGAGCGGCTAAGATCAAGAGGTGGCTTAGACTTGCAGACATCTGGGCCATGAGAGGAGTCCTGGAAAGTGATGAATTATCTTTGTCCTTGGTTCACAGTTTCCTTGTTCCTTTATTAAACAAAGCAGAGTTAGTGCACATACTCCCACTTTCCCAGATCTGGACAGCTGCATACTGGTGCCAACAAGGCAGCATTTCTTTTTTTTTTTTTTTTGAGTTGGAGTCTCACTCTGTCGCCCAGACTGGAGTGCAGTGGCCGCTCCCGGCCACCGCAGCCTCGACCTGCTGGGCTCTGGATATCCTTCCGCCTCAGCCTTCCGAGTAGCTGGAATTACAGGCATGCGCTACCATGCCTGGCTGATTTTTTAATTTATTATAGAGATGAGGTCTCACTGCCCAGGTGGGTCTCGAACCCACGGGCTCAGGCAGTCCACTCACCTCAGCCTCCCAAAGGCGCGGAATTACAGGCTGAGCCACCGAGCCCGGCAACATTTCAAAATTATTTTAGCTACATGGAAACACACAAAGGCCAGAGATCTCCCCCCCACCCCGGTCTAAAATGGAGTTATGTTGAACTTTTGAGAGTTGACTGTCCCATTTTGAATCGATTACATCTAAGTTTTATATTATGAAGTTAGCAACTTAAAAAATTTATTTTAGTGCGGCGACTGGTTTCTGTGCACTTGTAGAAACATCACTGTTCTTTAGGGCCAAAGGTAGATTTGATGTCTGTCCTCTGGATTATCTTGCATTTGTAAAGAAGGAAAACTCTCCTAAATGACAAAGTAGACACACCTCAGGGAGATGGTGTAAGAATCAAATCAAAGAGAACCTCAGGCAGACAGGAGAGCAAGCGAGGGACTCCCAAGAGAGTGGTAAGACTGACAAAAAATAAATACATTCCATTTAATTTTGAAGTAAATAAAGGCATATTTTGAAAATGTAGGTGTAACTTGATTAATCTCACCTGAGAAGAAATCCCAGAGAAGTAAGAGGAAATAGAAAAAATGGCTGCTTCTCAGGTAAATAAATGTGTCCCAGCACAGAAGGAATGTCATGCGTATAAGACTTGCAAACCATGCTGCTGTCCTTGTGATGGTCCTGCCTAATGAGTTTGTTTCAACTTTTTGTTCTTCCTGTGCTATTCAATGGGTCTACCGGACACTGCTCCCTACATAGCCTCTTCTGTTCTCTTCAGTAAATTACAAAAATTAGCCAGGTATGATTGCATGTTTGTGTAGTTCTAGGTACTTGGAAGGCTGAGGCAGAAGGATTGCCTAAGTTCAGCAGATTGAGGCTGAAGTGGCCATGAGCATACCACTGCACTCCAGCCTGGGTGAGAAGAGTGAGACTCCCACTCAAAAAGTAGTAATAAATTACTATAACATTTGGCTATAAGATCTCAGCATGGATGTTGTGTTCCTCCTGTGTGCTTTGACATGATACCAATTTGTCCCAAATACATGGGACGATATGGAGGGTGTATTCTTTTTTTTTTTGAGTTGGAGTCTCACTCTGTCACCCAGACTGGAGTGCAATGGTCGCTCCCAGCCACCGCAGCCTCGACCTGCTGGGCTCTGACGATCCTTTCGCCTCAGCCTTCCAAGTAGCTGGAACTACAGGTGCATGCTAACAAGCCCAGCTAATTTTTATTTATTGTATAGATGAGGTCTCGCCAAGTTGCCCAGGTGGGTCTCGAACCTGTGGGCTGAGGCAATCCACTCACCTTGGCCTCCCAAAGCGCTGGGATTACTGACTGAGCCACCAAGCACAGCCGAGGATGCATTCTTTTAGCCAAGGAGATCGAGACTGCAATAAGGTGCATTCTTTTAGCCAAGGAGATTGAGACTGCAATAAGGTGTGATTATGCCAGGGCACCCTAGCCTAGTTCAGAATGAGACACACCTAGACAGGCGTAGTAGCGCGCACCTCTACTTCCAGCTACTTGGAGTGGCCACTGCACTCCAGTCTGGGTGACAGAGTGAAACTCCAACTAAAAAAAAAAAAAGAAATAAAACACACCAACTGAACAAAAAAGTGCAGAACCTCAGGCTAAATCCATGTATTCTGAATCAGAATTTGCATTTTAAGAAGATATTCAATTCATTGTTGTACAAATTAAAACTTGCCGAGGATCTTCTGACTTATTAGGAGCAATATATGTGACATATTCTGTGTGATATAAACAGTAATTTAAAATGTGCATACCTGTGTTGGTGTCCATTTTATGCTTTTCACTCACAAAAATAGAGTCTACACTGACTGCGTGGATTTTATTTTATCCTATTTTCCCACACAATGCATTGGAGGATATTTCTGGTTTTTTGTTTGTTTATTTTTTGTTTTTTTGTTTTGAGTTGGAGTCTCACTCTGTCATCCATACTGGAGTGCAGTGGCCACTCCTGGCCACTGCAGCCTCGATCTGCTGGGTCCCAGCGATCCTTCCACCTCAGCCTTCCAAGTAGCTGGAACTACAGGTGCGTGCTAACAAACCCAGCTAATTTTTGATTTATTGTATAGATGAGGTTTTGCCAAGTTGCAAAGGCGGGTCTCAAACCTGTGGGTTGAGGCAATCCACTCACCTCAGCCTCCCAAAGTTCTGGGATTACTGCCTGAGCCACTGAGTCTGGCTGTGGATGCATTCTTTTAGTCAAGGAGATCGAGACTGCAATAAGGTGTGATTATGCCAGGGAGCCCTAACCTGGTTCACAATGAGACACACCTAGACAGGTGTAGTAGCATGCACCTGTACTTCCAGCTACTTGGAGTGGCCACTGCACTCCAGTCTGGGTGACAGAGTGAGACTCCAACAAAAAAAAAAAAGAAAAAAAAGAATGAAACAACAACTGAACAAAAAGGCGCAGAACCTCAGGCAAAATCCACGTATTCTGAATCAGAATTTGCATTTTAAGAAGATATTCAATTCATTGTTGTACAAATTAAAACTTGCCAAGGATCTTCTGACTTATTAGGAGCAGCATATGTAACGTATTCTGTGTGATATAAACAATAATTTAAAATGTGCGTACCTGTGTCCATTTTATGCTTTTGACTCACAAAAATAGAGTCTACATTGACTGAGTGGATTTTATTTCATCCTATTTTCCCACACTTAATGCATTGAAGGATATTTCTGTTTTTTTGTTTGTTTGTTTATTTTTTGTTTTGAGTTGGAGTCTCACTTTGTCATCCATACTGGAGTGCAGTGGCCGCTCCCAGCCACTGCAGCCTCGATCTGCTGGGCCCCGGCGATCCTTCCACCTCAGCCTTCCAAGTAGCTGAAACTATAGGCGTGTGCTGCCACACCTGGCTAATTTTTTTGATTTATTGTAGAGATGAGGTCTCGCCAACTTGCCCAGGTGGGTCTCGAACCCGCAGGCTCAGGCAAATCCACTCACCTCGGCCTCCCAAAGCACGGGATTACAGGCTGAGTCACCGAATCTTGCCAGAGGATATTTCTGTGTTATGAGTTTTTTTATTACATAATAGTTGTCTTGTCAGCTTGACCCTGTTCTTTTCATTCTTGCTTTACCTAGAGGCCATGGTGACTTGGTAAATATGTGTTTTTGTTGTTTTCAGGGGTTGTTGTCATTCAAGGATGTGGCCATAGAATTCTCTCCAGAAGAGTGGGCATGCCTAACCAACCCTCAGCGAATAATGTACTGGACTGTGATGTTAGAGAACCATAGAAACCTGGTTTTCCTGGGTGAGGAAACTTTCAAAACACAATTCTATTTCTTACTAAGGATTTTATGTCCTTTATTTGTAGAATGTTTTCTGGGAATTTTTGCTTTGCATGAACGAATTTCAGATTCCTCCTATCATTGAAAAGTTGGTAATATGTTAACATAGAAAATAAAAAATTAATGATGTTTCATTTTGACATGAAGCCTTCTCTATTTTAAATTGACCAGTGTCCTTCTAGCTATATTATTGGTAAGACCAGAAATTTAGTGACATTGATCATTGCCCACATCTGATTCCAATTGCTACCATAAGTTATTGACTCACTAGTACTGAACTAAGAACTCACAAATTTAAGGCCAGGCATGGTGGCTCAGCCATGTAATGCCAGCAGTTTAAGAGACTTCATTGACAGAACTGCCAGAGCCCATGGGTTCAAGAATATCCTGGGCAACCTGGCAAGACCCCATCTCTACACTAAATCAAAAAATTATCTGGGAGTGGTAACGCATACCTGTAGTTCTGGTTACTTGGTAGACCTAGGGAGAAGAATTACCCGAGCCCAGCAGGTGAGCACTGGGGTGGCCATGAGCTTTCCACTGCACTCCAAGCTGGGTGACAGAGTGAGACTTCAACTTAGAATAAAAAGAAACCCATAAATTGAAAATTCTATCTAAATGTTCTAAAGGTTTTATTGGGAAACTGTATTTTGGGATTAATTTTCTAGAATCTTGAATAATGTGTTCTCTACTTATCAAATGCTAGGTTTGTAATCTAAGAACCACAGCAAGAGTTATGTTACTTTTTTCTAATTAAACAGGACTTGCTGTCTCTAAACCAGATCTTATTACATGTCTGGAGCAAAGGAAAGAGCCCTGGGATGTGAAGAGACATGGCACATTAGCCAAACTTCCAGGTAAGTGGGAGTGAATGAAGCAGATGACACAGGTTGAGGAATCAGAGCTTGAAAAGTGGTTTGGTAAGGTGGTCTGCTCCAATGGAAATGGTTTCTTAGAAACCTGGGATTCTTTCTCTTCTTGTCACAAAGCGATATCTGTTATTCCTGTCACAAAGCGACACCTGTTCAGAAATTCTCCAAAAACTCTTCCTTCTTCAATGATCTTTCAAGTTTACAGAGGAAATCGAAGTCCACTTAATGGTATGTTAGGAACTGCATGATCTGACTACCTTTATGATGCTTTGGAGACGTGCAGGTATTTGCTTATTTATTTGGAAATCCATGTCAAACTATTTTTTATGTTTTGTTTTTGCATCATTGTTGGATTATGTGACCAGTGATTTTGTTATCTGTTTGAGAAATTTTAAGAACACTCTGGACACATGTTACATATTTTCTACTTGATTTTCTATACTAGGGAGATTTCCAATGATTTTATTTAAATTCATATTCAATAGTCCTACCTAAATACAAATTATCTCTCTTAATTGAAGAAATCCTGATATTTTACTTAAATTTTACTTTTATAGTGTGATCTGAGACTGGTAGTTTTTATTTATATCCAAATATTTAAGTATACTATATTGTGTAGAGGATTGGTAAACATATATTAAACTCCTACATGTTACCTTGTGCCTTAATATCTCTTATTTTATAATTTTTTTTAGTATTAAGTTTAGGACTAGCTTCATATATGCATATATTCAAACACAGATGTATGCATGTTTATATGTGATTATCACCTGATTTTTTATACATAAATAAATAATAGGTCATAAATAATGTAATAATTTGATATGCCTATACAGTGTGAAATGATGACTACAATTATATTAATGAACATATCAACCATCTTATGTAGTTGCCATTTTTATGTTTTGAAGGAGAATGTCTTCTATCTTAGCAAATTTTCTAAGCATACGAAATGTCATTATTAACGATAAGTCACTATGGTCCACATTAGCTCCCTAAGACTCAGTTATAACTCAAATTTTCTAACCATTGAAAAACATCTCCATTTTCCCACCTGCAGACCCTCGTGACCACGTTGTACTTTCTTCCTCTATGAGTGCAAAGTTTTTTGATTCCATAGAAGTGAGATCATACAGAAATTTTTTTTCCTGAGTTGGAGTGTCACTTCAGGCTGGAATGTAGTGGCATGCTAATGACCACTCATTGCTGGGCTCAGGCGATCCTTCCATATCAGCCTTTCAAGTAACTGGAACTACAAGTGTGCGCTGCCACGCCTAGTTTATTTTTATATTTGTCATAGATCTGTGGTCTCACCTAGGTGCCCAGACTGGTCTTGAACCCCTGAGCTCAGGCAATTCTCTCACCTCAGTCTCCCAATGTGATGGGTTTACAGACTTGAGTCACTGTACCTGTTCTCATGCAGTATTTGTGGGTGTGTGTGCCTGGCTCACTTCAGTTAGCATAATGTCTTACAATGTCATCCATAAGGCTAAAATTGCAGAATTCTTTAAAAAATTTTTGGCTGAATCATATGCTATTGTGCATATATATATGTGTGTGTGTATATACACATTATTTTATTAATCAACACAGATTTCACAAATATTTAGGATGTTTCCAAGCTTGGCCATCTTGACAAATGCTGCAATGTCCATAGGGGTTGGAGACTACTTTTTGATACTGATTTTATTTCCTTTGGTTATATGCCTCAAAAAGGGATTTCTGTGTTATGTGACAGTTTGTTTTTATTTTTGTTTAATTTATTTTATTTTTTCTTTTTGAGTTGGAGTCTCACTCCGTCACCCAGACTGGAGTGGAGTGGCCACTCCCAGCCACCACAGCCTTGACCTGCTGGGCTCCGGAGATCCTTTCACCTCAGCCTTCCAAGTAGCTGGAACTAGAGGCACGTGCTACTATGCCTAGGTAATTTTTTATTTATTGTTGAGATGAGGTCTCGCCACGTTGCCCAGGCAGGTCTCAAACCCGTGGCCTCAGGCAATCCACTCACCCCAGCCTACCAAAAGTGCAGGATTACAGGCTGAGCCACTGAGCCCGGCTTGTTTTTATTTTTAAAAGAATGTTGATAATGATTTTTGTATAACTCTTCCAATTTTAAACTCACCAAGAGTATACAGGATTTCTTTTTCTTCACATCCTTATTAAAAGTTCTCTCTCTCTCTTCTGGTTGGTATTGCTCATTCTAACCACTTTGAGACAATATATCATCATTGTGTTTATTTGAAATTGCCTCTATTGGTGATGTTCACTTCCAATTCATTTACCTGTTGGCAAGTTGTATGTCTTAATTGGAAAATTATTCATTTTTTGACTGTTTTTTATTCAAGTGATTATCATTTTCTTTAACTTCTCATGCAGATGTTTTTTCTTGTCCTGTAAGCCTTCTTCCTTTTCCCTTTAGTCTGCAGAAGTTTTCAGTTTGATGTCTCCAATTTGTTTATATTTATTTTTATTTCTGTAGTCATAAAAATTTTATTACTGCTGGGCTCGGTGGCTCAGCCTGTAATTCCGTGCCTTTGGGAGGCTGAGGTGAGTGGATTGCCTGAGCCAGTGGGTTTGAGACCTGCCTGGGCAAGGAGACCTCATCTCTACAATAAATCAAAAAATCAGCTGGGTGTGGTAGTGCACACCTGTAATTCCGGCTACTTGGAAGGCTGAGGCGGAAGGATCACTGGAGCCCAGCAAGTTGAGGCTGCGGTGGCCAGAAGTGGCCACTGCACTCCAGTCTGGGTGACAGAGTGAGACTCCAACACACACACAAAAAAACCAACACACAAAATTATTACTAAGAGCAATATCAATGTCAAGGATGTTTTCCAAATCCTTTTTATGGTTACATTTTATCAGCATGTTCTCTGTCATCCACGCAGGAGTGTGGTGGTTCAAGTAAGGGTTTCTACATTTCATATGAAATCTTTGTTGTAATTTGCAGCTCTACAAATTATTGTTGTACCTTAATCAAGTCATCTCAATCTTTGTTGTAATTTGCAGCTCTACAAATTATTGTTGTACCTTAATCAAGTCATTTATCCTGATTCTTTCTATACTTTGGCATACTTTCTTTGAATTCAGGTATTTGAAATTCAAAGATATACACGTCATAATGTTTATGATGTTGCTTTGTCTAGATTAATATAACACCAATCACTAAGTTAGAGATTCTAGGAGACTCATACCTGTTCTTAGGATGTGTCTTCTCTGTATGTTGGGACAGAAACAAGTCTTTGCATAAACCCTTAAAGGACAGAAATGTGGACTCATACTCTACTCTTCTGTTTATTCCCTGAGGAGGAATTCAAGAGTTAGAACATCCCATCTGATTGCTTCATGCTGCATTGTAAAGAAAGAGAAATTACGGTAGCAAAATTACTAAACTTTCTCTTCCATGTAACTCAGTTTATCATGTGTATTATGCAAGTTTTAGCTGTTTTTTGAGTTTTCACACAAGCAATGGGGTAAGTATTTTCTAAAGTACCTATATTTATGAAGGAGTGGAAACCTGTGATTTCTACTTTCCATCATACTTATGTCCTTACCATGGTATAATATTATGTTTTATTTTCAAAAGATATTCACCTAAGTCTAGCATGTGGACTAAATTTTTATTTTCCTGATTTTCAGCTGTGACTTCTCATTACACTGAAGGTCTTTTGCCAGAGAAGAGCATAGAAGACTCTCTTGCAAAGGTGCCAATGGGAAAATATGGTAAATATGTCCTTAAGAACATATGCTTACAAAAAACTTGTGTAAGTGTTCATGAGGGTGAAGGGCAAATAGAATGCTAAGTTGCAAATAACCATTACAAATGTAACAAGAGTAGGAAAGTCTTTCATCAAGACTCCAAATTTGTTATCCACCAGAGGATCCATATTTCTGAAATGGCTTTCAAACATGAATATGGCAAAACCTTTAACTGGTCCTCAAAATGTAGTCAACGTCAAAAAAATAGTGCAGGAGATATACACAATATATGTGGATAAGTGTTAAACAACTTATTCCATCTAAATAGACATGAAAGAATCCATAGGGGAGACAGAGCCTTCAAAATTGAAAAATGTGGGAAAGCCTTTAGCTCTTACTCATGTCATTCACCACATCAGAAAATTCGTTGTGGAGAGAAATTCTAAAAATGTGTAGAATGAGCTGGGCTCAGTGGCTCAGCCTGTAATCCTAGTGCTTTGGAAGGCTGAGGTGAATGGATTGCCTGAGTCAATGGGTTTAAGACCCACCTGGGCAACTTGGTGAGACCTCATCTCTACAATAAATCAAAAAAATTAGCCAGGCGTGGTAGCACGCGCCTGTAGTTCCAGCTACTTGGTAGGCTGAGGTGCAAAGATCACCGGAGTCCAGCAGGTTGAGACTGTGGTGACCGGGAGTTGCCACTGCACTCCAGTCTGGGTGATGGAGTGAGATTCCAAATAAATAAATAAATGGATGGATAGATAGATAGATAGATAGATACTCCAAATAAATAAATAAATGAATAGATAGATAGATAGATAAATGTGAAGAATGTGGCAAAGCCTTTCACACTCGTTCACATCTTACTCAACATACAGTGATCCATACTGGAGAGAAACCCTACAAATGTGAAGAATGTGGGAAAGTCTTTCGCTCTCAAGGAGAATTTGCTGCACATAAGACCATTCATACTGGAAAGAAACCCTACAAATGTGAAGAATGTGGCAAAGCCTTTCACTTTCCTTCACATTTTACTCGACATACAATGATACACACTGGAGAAAAACCCTACAAATGTGAAAGATGTGGCAAAGCCTTTCAGTCTCTTTCACGTCTTACTCAACATACAGTAATCCATACTGGAGTGAAACGCTACAATTGTGAAGAATGTGGTAAAGCCTTTCACTTTCATTCAAAGCTTATTCAACATAAAATGATCCATACTGGAGAGAAACCCTACAAATGTGAAGAATGTGGTAAAGCCTTTCGCTATCAAGGAGATTTTGCTGTACATAAGACCATTCATACTGGAGAGAAACCCTATAAATGTGCAGAATGTGGCAAAGCCTTTAACTCTCGTTCACATCTTACTCGACATACAGTGATCCATACTGGAGTGAAACCCTACAAATGTGAAGAATGTGGCAAAGCCTTTCACTCTCATTCACACCTTACTCAACATACAATGATCCATACTGGACAGAAACCCTATAAATGTGCAGAATGTGGCAAAGCCTTTCACTCTCGTCCACTTCTTACTCAACATACAGTGATCCATACTGGAGAGAAACCCTACAAATGTGAAGAATGTGGCAAAGCCTTTCAGTTTCATTCATACCTTACTCGGCATATGGTGATCCATAATTGAGAGAAACCCTATAAATGTGAAGAATGTGGCAAAAACTTTCACTCTCATTCAAACCTTTCTCGACATATTCTGATCCATAATAGACAGAAACCATAGAAATGGGTAGTATGTGACAAAGCCTTTCTCTCTCAAGGGCAATTTGCTGTACATAAGACCATCCATACTGGACAGAAACCCTACAAATGTACAGAATGTGGCAAAGCCTTTAACTCTTGTTCATGTCTTACTCGACATACAGTGATCCATACTGGAGAGAAATCCTACAAATGTGAGGAATGTGGCAAGGCTTTTCAATTTCACTCTGGCTTTTATCAGCATAAGACCATGCATACTGGGGAGAAACCCTACAAATGTTAAGAATGTGGCAAAGCCTTTCGTGCTTGAGGATTTGCTGGCCATAAGGCCAACCATACTGGGGAGAAACCCTAGAGATGTGAAGAATGTGGCAAAGCCTTTCGCTCTCAAGGAGGTTTTGCTGGCCATAAGACCATCCATACTGGAGTGAAACCCTACAAATGTGCAGAATGTGGCAAAGGATTTACTCAGTATGCAAAGCTTATTGAACATCAGAATATCCATACTGGAGAAAAACCCCACAAATGTGAGGAATGTAGCAAGGCCTTTCCCTCTCACTCTGGATTTTCTGAACATAACACCATGTATACTGGGGAGAAAACCTACAAATGTGAAGAATGTGACATAGCTATTCACTCTCACAACGGATTTGCTGAACACATAATCATCCATATTGGAGAGAAAAATGTACAAATGTGAAAAACATGGTAAACCTTTTGCTCTCATATACAAGTAGCAGGACATGTGAGAATCCATACTGAGATGAAACTGTATAAGAGAAAGGAATGAGATAAAGCCTTTAGCTCTCATTCAATATTTGGTTGACATATGAGCATCTATATTAGGGATTCCCTATAGATGGGCAGAATGGGGTAAATTTTTTCACTGTTATTCCAAGTTTTCTCAACATCAGACAATTTATACTCTAAATTTTCAGTATCTCTAATGACTGGAAAATCATATATCTATTTATAAACAATAGAGACATGGTGAGAAATTACAGATGTAAAGAGTACATTATCTTTATTCAAACCACAGATCTTTTGAATGTACAAATGTAAAATATGTCTAAAGACATTAACCAGCAAATACTTTATTTGACATTAGACTGTGCATTGTAGAGAATCTACAAATGTAGAGAATGTGGACTGGCCTTTGTTCAGAATATATGCCATTGGAAATACTAGGGTATTCGAACTGAAAACATTACAGATGCAATTTATATGGAAGCTTATTTACTGAAATGTCAAGTTGAAATAAATAGCAAATATTGAGTGGCATTAGAAGATGGTTTTTTGTTTGTTTTTTAGGAAGGCATAAGTATATTCTCTGTATAATTTTGGTTTTGCATTGACAGAAGATGAGGATATTTCAAAAAGCAAACAATATTGATGTAACTCAACTCACATGATGCTATGCCTTCATTAGTAGTGCTTATGTAAAGGTATGGGGTCTATTGTTGGTACGTAAGAGCTTTGAAATGTCCTTGTATAGTAGGTCATCAGCCCTCATCCCATGTTTTTCATGGAGAATGAAGAATGCTGATATGTAATCTCCTTTAAAAGATCAAAGTGAAGAGGTTTTTTGTGGCTCACATTAAGCATTATTGTAAGTTCGGAATGAGGTGAGTGTTCAGGATAACATTTTTCTTTGGAAATAAATGACAAAGAATCATTGAGAGTTTTAAAAGTCATTTGTCTTACTACTTACATGCAAATGAGAGAATGAGGCCAGAACATTAATATCTTGATGCATCTTCATACTATCAATACTTACAAGCCATAAGTGTAATTTGATATAAATATAAAGAAATATTTTCATAGACATCATAGCAAAGATAATTATTCTCTTAAAATGTATATAAGTTTGTGTTTAGTAAATAATCAGATTCAATTTTTAAAACTGAAGAAAACTGTTCGAACATGGATCACACTATCAGAAGAACAGAAATACTTGAATGTTTGTAACCTGGTTTGCTAGCAAGCATATAGTGAAATTTGAAGGTTTATTTAGACTATGTAATTTGTTTGTTTTAACGAACAGAATTGTTTATAAAGTAATAACATTTGTTGTCAATGTAATAAATTATGTTGCCATAAGTGTTAATCTATTCTATCTTACCCAAGATTGTATGTATATGATGACTATATACTATTGAGTAACTTATAGAAGGATGTTTCTAGTGATTCTTTTTTTATAGGTCATAATTTCTTCCTTTTTTTTAAGTTATGTGTCATTTTGATTATTGTAATAATACAGGTGTATAATTATGAGACCTACCTTTCTGAATCCTGACTATTGTAAATAATTATATATTAGGTTAGATTTTGACTCTGATGCCCAGGCTGGAACCCAGTGGAAAATCCATGGTCACTGTAGCCTCAAAGTGATGGTATCAGGCCATCTTTCTCCTTTAGCCTCCTGAGTAGCTGGTGTCACAAACATTTGCCCTCATGCCCAGCCAACTATTGAATTCATTGTTAAGACAAGGTCTCACCAAGTTGCTCAGGCTGTCCTGCAAGCCCTAGACTAAGGCTGTCTGCTGTACTTTGCCTCCCAAAGTGCTGGAATTATAGGCATGAGTCACCATGCCCAGTTTCTTGTTTCCTTTCTAGTCATCTGGCACTGTGTTGGAAGCACTTGTCCCCTCAAGTCATCTGCCTCTAACTCCTGTAGTGTGGGTTCTTGGCTCTGGAATATCTTTAACATTTATATCTTGATACCCTTCCCTTTCTGCTCTTTTACCATAAATACAGTGATTCTTTGTAATTTCCTAGCTTCACTCTGGAGAGACCTAATGGTCATGGAAACATTAGCATCACATGGTGTGTCAAACACAATCTCACAACACTTGCATTAATCACCTGGCAGCAGGACGTGGTCCCAAAATTATTGACTACTACACTTTGTGTCATAGCTAACTTTATGCCGTTATGAGTTAATACTGCATCTTTACATTTATTTATACATTTCCCAACTGCTGATGGTGCCATGTATACCCTGTAAGTGCATAAATTATGTTTACCTTTGTATGATAGATTTGTATTTCTTTATGACAGTAGATGTCAAAATAGACAAGAATATACTTCTATCTGACGTCCTCATGACATCTTTAAAGTATATTTCTTTTTTTGATTTATTGTAGAGATGAGATCTCACCAAGTTACCCATGCAGGTCTCGAACCCGCAGGCTCAAGCAATCCTCGCACCTCAGCCTCCCAAGGTACAGGTTTACAGGCTGAGCCACTGAGCTTGGCCTTAAAGTATATTTCTAAACTGTGGTTCTGCACATTTCTTTTAAATGATTACAAATTGTCAAAAAAGAAAAGGCAGTGTATTTTCTGAAAACACGTGGACCTATGCAGGTCAAACCCATGTTCTTCATGGGCTAACAGTACAGTGAGAAAAATAGACATGGAAATAACAAGACAGTATAATCTTGACTAGCCCTATTTAAAAAACTGCCAAGCCAACATAATTATGAATATAATAAATCAACATAAAATGCAAGATAAATATAAAATTAGATTGAACTGATAACAGTACTATTGCGTGGAAATATTGAGCACAATTTATATACTCAAAGTGTCAAAGTCCAAGTGATAAAAATTATGATTACAGTTCTACATAAATGGTGGCTTGATTGTAAAATACGAAACTTTTCCCAAACATTTATGTAGTGGTTTGAGTACAATATGTGAAAAAATAAAAATAAAATGTCATATCCAAAGATTTGTTGATACAGGAGTTTGTAAGATAACCAGACATAAATTTCTAAATTTGGAATTAATTTGTGTCAAAAATAAAAAAAATAGAACAGTATTAAAAGCAATATTAGTCAAACTCCCTGATACCATAAAAGAAAACACCTAAAAGCAGTGAGGGGCAAGGCATGGTGACTCAGGACTGTATTTCCAATACTTTGTGTGGCTGAGGTGGGAGAACCTCTTGAACCCAGAGGTTTTATAGCAGCATAGAAAACTCATATCTATAAAAAATAACAAAAAATTTGTTGGGTGTGGTGGTGCATGTTGTCCCAAGGTACTTGGGTGTATTAGGGGAATAATTGCCTGAACCCATAGGTTGAGCCATAATCATGCCACTGAACTCTACCCTGGTGACACAGAGATGTCATTCAAAAATGTGTGTGTAAGCCAGGCTTGGTGGCTCAGCCTGTAATCCCATGCCTTTGGGAGGCTGAGGTGAGTGAATTGCCTAAGCCCACGGGTCCGAGACCCGCCTGGGCAGCGAGACCTCATCTCTACAATAAATCAAAAAATCAACCAGGCATGGTAGCGCGTGCCTGTAATTCCAGCTACTTGGAAGGCTGAGGTGGAAGGATTGCCGGAGCCCAGCAGGTGGAGGCTGCGGTGGCTGGAAGCAGCCACTGCGCTCCAGTATGGGAGACAGAGTGAGACTCCAACTCAAAAAAAAGAAAAAAAAAATGTGTGAGTATATAAATTCTAAATAGAAGCATATAAATGAATATAAATTAAATTTGTAAAACAACACTAAAAGCACTAAGACTATTTCCAAAACTTGTGTTTTCTTGAAAGCAGCAAAACTAGTATTAACAGTACTGGTATAAAGTATTATGAAAGGTAGAATCGGATATGTTTAAAGAATAGAAAAAAAGAAATATTTTTCAAATAAAGTACCTGAGAGGTTTGATTACCAAGAGCAGCTTCTAAGAAGCATACTTTAAGACAAAAGTCATACTTCTATATGAAGTTATAATGGAAGTGAAAGAGTAAGGGACATAATGAGGGAGAATCAACTCATGGTGGACACTGAGTTACAGACACCCTGTCAAAGGCAATGTCGGATTTTAAAATATTTAGATAAAATAAAAGTGTAGTTTCACCCATTTTATTTCAATGTAACAGAATTCTGTGCTTCCTAAATTATAAATGGAAGAATCATCTAGTTTTTAGAACATTATTCATCCTGACTTAATATGTGATTGGTCTTCTGTTGCATATAATATTGGCAACCCTTTTATCAGAACTCTTTTGTAATTAAGGACTTACTGTGCATAGGACACTAACTCCAAGACTCTGAACAGTCTGAAGGGCTGGGTCATCTCTGCCTAACACAGGTGAGGAAGACCTGAAAGAAGCAAACACACTGGAAGACAAAGTCTCTCCACATGTGTAAGCTTCAGCCTCCAGTGAGAAACAGCAAGGTCATTACTTCTTTTCCACCACGGAGGCTTGATTGTATAGTGCATTTACATATATGTTTTATTGTACTTTTAAACTTTGTATTCCCTTGATTTCTCAATCATTTTAAAAAGTCACTATCACAGTGCTTTACTTTCGTAGTCCTTATTATGTATAATATCATCCTATTTTTTTCAGATTTTCATGGATTTCTACTTTAAATGTTCTTTTGTGCAAAAAAGTTTTTTTTTTCTCCAGAACAAAAATAGCTGGTGTCTATGTCATTATCAGGCTCAATTGATAAACTGATTAGAGGATATCAACTTAGTGATACCATTTAAACTTTCTTCCCAAAACATATTTTTATTACTTTTTATTTCTGCTGGGTTTTGTTTGTTTGTTTGTTTGTTTGTTTTGAGTTGGATTCTCACTCTGTTGCCCAGACTGGAGTGCATTGGCCCCTCCCGGCCACTGCAGCCTTGACCTTCTGGGCTCCGGTGATCCTTCCACCTCAGCCTTCCAAGTAGCCGGAATTAC